TGAAGGGGAAAGAACATGCAAGAGAATCACCACACCTCATAGACTTTGCTGGATCCTCCTTGTCCAAGTAACTCTAGCTGTACATATTCTTTGCCGTTGACGATGATGTTCGCCATATCCATCAGCTTATGTGGTTTTGGTGGTGTTGGGGAGTGTGAATGAGAGCGATGTTCTGTGGTTGGCTTCTGAAGCCTCTGAGAAGAGGTTCGAGACAGGCTCACATGCTGCAGACAGTTCCCAGGTGTAACTTGACTTTTTTTACTTGTTTGAGAGGCTCCTTTAAGTGCTACTTCCTGATTTCTACTCTCAGATGACACACAGGACAGACTGTTCATTGGTGCAGTGTTCTGAGATTTGGAATGAGTTTTATACTGGGAACTGGCCAATGTTTTGGAATTTCGTGAAATAGATTGTCCAGCCGTGCCTTCTGATGATGCACTATAATCCATTACATCATCAGTACTGTTTTGTGTTTCTTCAGCAATTGCCTTTATGGAGTGGGATGCAGTGCTTCTTTTGGTCAGACCTGTGTCGGGAGCAATTTCTTGGAGCTTGGTGCTTATGAGTGGCTTTGATGACAGTCTTTCTTGAGCAGCTGCACAGTTTTGAGTATTAATGGAAGGGCAGGTATTAGCCTTTCCTAGCTTGACTCTTTCAACATGGCTTTTATTGCTTGCCAACTCATTTTTCACTGATGATGACATAAACAAACTGCCATTCTCTAACAGTGCTTCACTGTTCTTTGGCACTGCTGAATTTGAAAAACCTAGCCCTAATCCTCTCCCATTTTCCACCTTATTTTTATCCTCTAAATTTATTATAGGTTGAATGTGATGCTCTTTTCTGGTAAATGCTTGAGTTTTTTTATGCAAATCTTTGTTGACAGCCTCAAAGGGAATTGAAATTTTTTCTGAAAGTTTATCAGAGAGCAGAGCATAAGGGTTAGTATTTTCCTTATTTCCCACAGCACTGACAACTTTTGAATTAAGGTTTGTCTGGCAAATGGATGATGACCTGGGTCCTGCGACTTCCTCTGGTGTGATATATTTTGGCATATGCTTGACCCCAAGTGCTGGAGTGGACTGTGTGTGTTTCATCTTGCTGGTTGACTCGGATCCATTGTACTTATCACATTTACCCAGGGCCAACTTATCTTTATGGTAAATGTTAAAGTCATCACTGGTCTGTTTGCCACCACTAGCTTGGTGCAGATGGGTAAGGTTGCCATGAGTGCCACTTCTCTCTTTTCCAACTTCACTCTGGGTCAAGTATGACCTCAACTCCTCAGATTTTGTCTGAAAAAAAAAAAAAATATACTTCTTTACTAACTCCCTAGAGGCAGTTACATTAAAATTTAATAATCAGCAGTCACTTTTTATCATATTGTACATGATTAAGACGTTATACACTGGATGGAGCTTTAGAGGACAGTTTGATTAAATGCCTCAAGATCAATGGCAAGAATGGGGATGAGGACTGGATAAGATGCAGCAGTGTAAAAGGTTGTGGGTAGATAGGCAGAGGCAAGAGAGGCTAAGGCTGGACAGTAGTAGATTTTAGGTCTGATCATTTTGTAGTGGGTAAAAAAGAAGCATGTCGCAGAACAAGATCTTACTGGAATATTTCGCAGTGAAAAGTTCTATGCAAGGCAAAATACAGTGGACCCTCTGTTATCATGTTTAATCCGTTCGAGATCGGCAAAAACGGAAATCTGTGAAAACTGAAACCATTTTCCCCACAAGAAATAATGTATATCCAATTAATCCGTTCCAGACACCCAGAAGTATTAAGAAATTTTTTTTTACCTTAAAGATAGATTTACATGCACAAAAGAATGAACATTCAACATGACACTTACCTTTATTGAAGGCTGTTGTTTGTGGAGGGAAGACAAGGAGGAGGGGAGAGGAAAGAGAGGTTATTCTTTGGAAGGGGAATCCCCCTCTATAAGGACTCTAGGTACAAAGTCCTTATCAGAGGTCACTTCCCTTCTTTGTTTTTTAATGCCACAAATCTTTCTATCCTACTCCACATTGCCCAAATCTCCATCACTACCACCCTCTACCACCATCATCACTACCACCCTCTACCACCATCATCACTACCACCCTCTACCACCATCATCACTACCACCCTCTACTACCACCACCACTTTTGTATTTTTCTATAAACTTTTTCTTGAATTCTATCATGTTTAATCCTCCGGGTTTAGCGCTTCCCCCTTGATTATAATAATAATAATAATAATATGTTTCTCACATTCTTCACCAAAGGGCTAGCACTAGAAGCTTTCTTTGGGCCCATGGTGGCTTATTTAGCAGTCACACACAATAAACAAGTGCCAAAAACAATGGATAATTACGAAATGTTTCATATGACCTCGCAGGATATGTTCACTTGCCAAGAAACAATACAACATTGCCTGAGAATGCATGTGGGGGTGGCTGTGTATGCACTCTGGGCACTGGACAGGTTCCGTACCATCGATGAAAACGGAACCAATATCTTGATGAAAAAAGTCAGCAAAAATGGAAATCACCGAAAACGGAGATCGACGAAAAGGGAGGGTGCATTGTATTATCCAAATTAAAGTTCATTCTACAATGAGCAGCATTTCCTTTTAATTTTTTCTTTCTTCACCACTGTCAGCATCACACCATCTGGATCCACTTGTGGATATTAAATGTTTTGGCACCAAACAATTTGCTTGCCGTATTCAGGCTATATTTTACTGATAAGTAATTAGCCATCCTTTATAAAGAATCAAGTACACAAAGTTTTCCTACCTGTGGGATGGGTTTGTAAATTGTGCATACAGTGCTATATTATGTATATGGGGAAGTGTAACAGAATTCTTCCTCCATAAACCATGCGTGTCGTAAGAGGTGACTAAAATGCCGGAAGCAAGAGGCTAGTAGCCCCTTCTGTATAAATTGCTAAATTTGAAGAGAAACTTTAGTGTTTCTTTTTGGACCACCTTGCCTCAGTGGGATACAGTTTGCTGAAAGAAGTAGAGTATTTTAGTGTAATTTTTTTTTTTTTTTTTTTTTTTTTTTTACTATTTTTTAACCCTTTGACTGTTTCAGTCATATACATGTATATATATGTCTTATGAGCCAATGTGTTTGACGTATATATACTCAAAAATTTTAGCGGCTTCAAATCAAGCAGGAGAAAGTTGGTAGGCTCACATGTGAGAGAATGGGTCTGTGTGGTCAGTGTGCACCATATAAAGTAAGTCCTGCAGCATGCAGTGCATAATGAGAAAAAAAAAACTCAGACTGTGTTTTTGGATTAAAACACTGACTGAGGTGTTTTTTCGTATAGTTTTTATGGTTATATTCTCATTTTCATAGTCACATTTGATACAATGGAAAACATATTATAGAAATAGAGGTGATTTTGATTGATTTTGCTATGAAAAGGATCTTGAAATGGAGCTCAAAGTAAGAGAAATGTTTGATTTTTGCCGATGTTCAAGAGTAAACAAATGTCATTGTCCAATAAATGTCCAACTAGCCATTCTAATATGCAGTCATGAATAGGTTGATGTTATTTATACAATTATTACAATATTGCAGTAGTCTGCATAGTAGTAAATCTTCTATTTTTTGTTTGAATAAAAATTCAAAATAGAAAGCAAGAGTAATATCAGAGGGGCCTGGAGACATGACTGATGAACAAAGAAAATGTTATTTTAGAGCCAGGAATGTCTGCATTGTTCATTCTGGACCTTATTTTAAAATTGTCATATTTTTTTAATTTGCGTGAAATTGGCCAAACTGCAAATTTCTGACCACTTTATTGGGTAGTTGAAATTGGTAAATGAGCAGTTTCTTGTACTCAATCAATAGAACAAATGGCGTTCTAAAGAAATGGTTATGAGTTTGGTCGACTGGAACAATGGAATTAGCCTAAAATAGGGCTCAAAGTGGGCAAAATCGCCGATTCGTAAACATCGCTGAGGTTGCTAACTTCGTGAGAGCACAATTCCATAAATTTTACATCAAATTTCGCACTTTTGGTGTCATTACCATCGGAAAAAGATTCTCTATCATTTCATAAAAAAAAATTTTTCCAAATATTTTGCGACACCAGAGACACCTCAGGATTTGGGGTTGCGACAGTCAAAGGGTTAACATTCTGATATATGGACATCTCTTATTAGTCCACTATTTCAAGGGATTACTGCATATGCTGAATTTTAAAAAGAACCCTCAAACTCATCAGATTTTTTTTTAACACACCAGCCATCTCTGACAGAGGCAGGGTGACACTTCCAACATCATTCACACAATCACTGTCTTTACAGAGGTGCTCAAATACAACAGTTTAGATGTAACTCAAAATAGCCAATATACCAAACCCCCTCCTGTACAGTGCAGGCACAGTATTTCCCACTTCCAGGACTCAAGTCATCACACTGACATTGAACTGCTGAACAGGGGTGCACCAGAGTATCAGTATAGGTGGGCACTGGTTTATTTTGATGGTACTGATATCGGCCTAAACCCGAGTATCAGAACTGGTGAATTTGGGTGGTATCAGTATCAGTCTAAAATTGAGTATTACTATCAGAAATACTTTTGATATCACCTCATCACTTGGTAAACTGCCTAAATATTTTAAAGCAAAGGTATAGCTCATGTACAGCAGAAGTGAACATGGTAAAACCAAATTATGATTACATAAGAACACAAGTAAGAGAACTGCAGTAGGCCTACTGAGCCATGCTAGCAATGCAGGTCCACATCACACCCACTCATGTACCTGTCTAATCTATTTTTAAAACTACACAAGGTTCTAGCTTCAATGATGCTACTCAAGAGTTTGTTCTATGTATCCACTACTCTCTTACCAAACCAATGTTTTCCTATATCTTTTCTAAATCTACATTTTTCCAACTTGAATCCATTGCCAGTAAGTCAACAAATTTGTAACCTTGTACTAAATACATGAACAAGTATAATCAATTTTCCATCTGCCAAATTGTTAAGATTTAAGTTTCTCATTCTTAATCACACCATCTTCCTAAATTTTCCTTTCATAAACATGGTGTAGACCTTTAACCCTTTGAGGGTCGACAGGCCCTCTCCGAAACTCGTTCTCAGGGTAGGCCAAATTAAAAAAAAAAAAAAAATATTTTCTTATGAAAAGATAGAGAATCTTTTCCCGATCATAAGGACACCAAAAGTTTGAAATTTGATGGAAAACTTACGGAATTATGCTCTCGCAAAGTTAGCGGTCTCGGCGATGTTTACGCATCAGCGATTTTGCCCACTTTGAGCCCCATTTTCGGCCAATTCCACTGTACTAGTCGACAAAAAACATGAATATTTCGCTAGAACTCCATTTTTTCTATCGAATGGGTGCAAGAAACCACCCATTTATGAAATTCAACTATCCAGTACAGTGGTCAGAATTTAGCAATTTTGCCAATTTCACACAAATTTCAAAAGATGCCAATTTCCGAATAGGGTCCAGAATAAACAAGAAAGACATTCCTGGAACTAAAATGACATTTCCTCTGGTCATTAGTCACGTCTCAAGGCCCCTCTTATATTCTTTTGCTTTCCACTTTGAATTTTTATTCTCACAAAAAATATAAGATTTACTGTTATGCAGACTACTGCATTAGTGTAAAAAATGGTATAATATTATTGGTGCACTTGTGAAAGAATATTAGACTCACCAGTTGACGTGTATTGCACGCTTGGCACGATTTGTTTACTTTTGAAATTTGGTAAAAATCGAACATTTCTGCTACTTTGAGCTCAATTTCAAGGTACCTTTCATTGTAAAATCAGTCAAAATCATCTCAATTTCTGTAATATGTCTTCCATTCTATAAAATGAGATCAAGAAAACTAGAATACAACAATAAATACCATACGAAAATACAGTGCAAAGTCGCTGTTTTATTCCAAAAAAATGGTCAAAGTTTTTTTTTCTCATTATGCACTGTGTGCTGCAGGATTTTTTTTAGACTGTGCACACTGACCACATAGACCCATTCTTTCATATGAAGGCCTACCAGCTTTCTCCCACTAGATTTGAGGGCGCTAGAATTTAGGCGTACTAGTACGTCAAAAACCCTGGGTCGTAAGCCGTACTAGTACGTCCGAAACCCTCAAAAGGGTTAAAATGGAGTTAAATTAGTTTCTCAAATAATTCTTTGTAGTATATTGGACTGCCAACAGCCAAACAGAATATAAGTATACCAAGTAGCATGCTTGTTAAGAGGACAAAATCAGTGGGGAAAAGCTGTGCTAAAATTTGTCATTATATCAGAGTTAGCATGTACTTAAAAAAAAAAAAGAGGGGGGGGGATCAGTACCTTTTCAACTCCATTTTCTGGCGAAACATCTTTCTTCAAGTTTGTAGACTTTTGAGTGAAAAATGGTGCAACCAGCTTCACTTTGCCAAACTTGCTGAAATAAACATTAACAGCATTTCAAGTAACAACTGTGACATGTAATAAATTATCAGATTAGGTTTGAAAGAAAATGCAAGATACTGACTAATCAACGATACAAGAACAGTAAGGAATGTGAAAAACAATACAATTAAATTACAATTATAGCCATATAACATGAGTGATTTAGTCTAAGTATTGTTAATTTATAAGCCTAATTATTAAACAAGACAACGTGAAAAAAAAATTGTCATGGATTCGTCCAGTAAAACCCGCTTTAGTCGTCACAGTGGTGTAACAAAAGTGTTGAAAGAAGGTTACCGAGATGGTTTGGTCATGTAGAAAGAACTTAGCAAGAGACTAATACAGATGAATAAATCTGGGGAAGATGGAAGGCGTATGTAGCATTTGAGGAGCAGATGGAATGAGGATCTGAAATACAGGTACATACCTGTACCTAGGAAGTTATAAAATATTATACCGAGCCCAATAGATTACACTGACAAAAGTACATACGAGTAACCATATCATTCATTTGTTACCTCTCTGAAAGACCGATCACACTGAGACATAATAAAAGTGCTCTCCCACTAAGTTAAAATATGAGGCAACAATTTAAAGCTCACAAAATGCTAACAATTTTTTTTTTTTTTTTGCCAGGAATCCTGACAGCTACCCCAACTGTCAAAACTACCACTGAAACAGCAGTCACTGACAAGGCATTAAAATATGTAATAGTCCATGGTATGCCATAATTACAGAGAACCATCTTATGGTTGTACAGTGGAACCCCGGATTTTGTCTGGTGCGGATACTTGTACAATTTGGATTTCAACCACGTAATAATAATCACTCTTGGGCACGTTAAATATCTTATTTTAGGTTAACAGACATTTTCATTAATCCATCTATGATATTTTCTCCAAAATTATATAAGAAACACAGTACATAGCATATAAACATGCACCATTTATATGCTATGGAGGTGTGCAAGCCAGGCAGAGGGAAAACGTTACGTTTTCTCTGGTCCAGCATCAAGAAAAACGTATAAATCGGCGTTGGCCTAGTCACCACCCTTAATACATAACGCTCTTGTTTACAATTCTCAGCATGAATTAATTATTACTTTTCCCTTTGTTTATGTTGGCATCTAAAGGTAGCTGTTAGAAACGATTAAACTCGGCGAGCATGGTATGTCGATGGTAATAATATGGCTCTGGGCCTCGTTAAATATCGTGTAGCTAGGATGTGGAAGAGCTGGTGGAGAAATATCGTCGTAACAAAGCTGTTGCAAGCTGTCTGCATGGTCCAGTGACTCAAGTTGGTCCTAGTACCAGTAAAAGACAAAGAAGGGAAGTTAACCGCAGACAGGGCTTTGATACGTGAAGTCCTTATGGAGGGGGATTCCCCTTCCAAACAATAACCTCTCCTCCCTCTCCCCTCCTCACCGTCTTCCATACGCCAATAAGTCACTTCAATAAACGTAAAAGTGATTTAAACGTTCATTTATCCATTAAAATTAGTCATTTATATTTATTTCTCACTGTTTTCTGTATGTAAAACTAGTTATTGTCTATAAAATGTATTTTATGTTAATATTCGGGCCACCCTGCCTTGGTGGGAATCGGCCAGTGGGAAAATACAAAAAAAAAAAAAAATAATTGTGTCTGGAACAGATTAATTGGATTTACATTATTTCTTATGGGAAATATTACTTCAGTTTTCGTCCATTTCAGATTTCGACCGGCCTTCTGTAAGTAAGTTTATTCCGGTATACACAAATACAGTTACATAGAATTATCATACATGTGTGTAGAGAACCTAGGATAACCCAAAAAAGTCAGACAGTGACTTATTTCCATTGGGGTCCTGGAACGGATTAAGGACAAAAACCAGGGTTCCACTGTAATTCTTACAGAAAGAGGGCTAAGGTATTAGGAGATGAGGGCTACATCCAGCAGCCAATGTGGAAGGAGAAGAGATGAGTGGTTCCTGGGACTTGGTGTGTTATTGGCTTGTAATAAAGGTACTGTAATACTGCATGTAATGAATCTGTTAATTCAATTACACACACCCATTTAAACCCACTTAATATTTTAACGTTAGGAAGTGCAAAGTCTTCACTTTGAAAACTGAGTTTGGCAGGTCAAACATCCTAGTGCTGTCTTGTGCCTTTCTTCAAAGGCAGTAGGCAAGTGATGAATATATTTTGTATATCCATGATCAGACTGGTAATGCCCACATCAAGTAACCAACCTCGTGCTCTTTAAGACTGATGACAGGACGTCCTCCACCGTAGGTATGTTATCCCACTCATCATCTTCCATCTCATCAATCATCTATAAAATTAAGTATACAAGGGGGTTAATAATCAAGTAAACAAAGACAATGATTAGCAAGTCTAAAATGTGATGAAATGCATCATATTACTGAGGCAATATCAAACAGCAATTTCTCAGACAGATCATGACTAATAATGATTTAATTAAGGAAATCTTGACAAAGTAAAGAATTAGCTTAACTAGTACAACAAAAGTATTATAATATGCCAGCAATGCATTAAAAAAATAATTCTGAAACCTATTGTATAGCTATAATACTCACGTGGTCACGGTCATTATCATACTCGTGGGGAAGCAAGTTTATTCAGGTACAGGTACAGGTATACATAAATACAGTTACATATATCATACAAAGCAACGTGTGTGTAGATTACCTAGGATAACCCAGAAGTCAAACTTACTTATTTCCAATGGGATCTTAGTAAGTTTACTGAGGTACAGTTACACAAATTATAATACATAGTAAAGTGTAAATTACTCACCAGGATAATCCAAAAAAGTCAAAGCGACTTATTTCCATTGGGGTTGATATGGGTCATATGAAGGGAATGGGCGGTGCTTTGATGCGAAAATGCTACTGCTACAAGGAACTGGAGCCACCATCCTCTTTCCTGGATCAAACCTAATTACCTCCAACCCCTCCAATATTCCTCTGAAGGAACAATGGAGGGGGTTTAGAGCTTACCCATGAATAATTTTAAAATAAACCAGTCCATCCCTACAATTATCCTTAGTAACAATTGATCTAAGGAACTGAACCAGTACTCTGCTTCCCTAGAAACTGCATGATCCTTATGTATGTTTATTTTGACACAGGTACACATTACAGGTGGGCCCCACTTTACAAACCCGTAGGGATTATATAGCGCATGTGGGAGACGGAAGGTATTCAGGCTCAATTCAGGGAACTGGAGCACAGATCCAATTCCCTAGATCAAGAGCCCCTCACCAGCATCAAGGAACCTCCCATGAGGGGGCGGGGTCCTTACAGGTTTAATGCTGACCAACGAATGTACTAATAATAATGTTAGAAGGAACTAAACCCACAGGGGTTATAAACCTCCACCTAGAGAATGGGAGGTAATCAAGTTTGATCCAAGGAAAGGAAGGACAAGTATGGAAATGTCACTTTGATATTTGGTTATCCTAGATAAAATTTCATTAGTTACTATATACAGCTATGAAAAAGGGTCAGTTCCTTGGATCAAGAGCCTTTCACTGCAGAGGCACCTCCCATGAAGCTAACTTTAATTATATTTAAGGGAAGAACTGTACCCGGTGAGGTAGTGCGTGGGGAATGGAAGGCAATAAGTTTGATCCAAGAATGAAGAGCGCAGATCCAGTTCCTTGGATTAAGAGCCCCTCACCAGAAGCAAGTAACGTCCCTCGAGGGGATTAATATTTAAAATCACAGGTATATAACTATCGACAAGACGAATACTTATACCACTATAATCATGCTTGATCCAAGGAAGTAGAGCAGCAGCAGTAACTCCCTGGATCAAGAGCACCTGACAGAAGTCAAAGAACATTCTTTAAATTATTTAATAAAATGTAAACAAACGACAGCTGGAGCAGCTGCCATTCCTTACGCTAATATCTTAAAGAAACAGCATTAAAACCCCTTCAGACGCCAGACATAATGATCAGCATATTACCTTCACTCACTGCAGAAACAAATACCTTTTTTCTTACCATAAAAAAGGGTAAAAATGAATTAAAACAGAAGAGGAGTGAATCACTAATTTTAAACCCGGGAAGTCACCAGCATGCTGCTTGCTGATTGGTCGAGCCCACGCAGGAGCACTCAAGTGACTTGCTGATTGGTCGAGCCCACGCAGGAGCACTTAAGTGACTTGCTGATTGGTCGAGCCTGCGCTTGTGCATTCGTCATACCTTCAAGCCTGCACTTATTTAATATTCTCATATACTTCTCTCCTCACAGCTTTGTAACTTCACCTCAAAGAAACACACAAATTGAGTATAATATATATGCAGAAATTAATGATAAAAGGTAGTTACTGTTCGAACGAAAATAATTTATGACGCAGATATGAAAGCTGCAGGACGAAAACAGCACATTAAATAAATAAATGAATGTAATTAACTAAATTAAATAAAGTAAATAAGTAGGTAAATAAGTAAAGCAAATTTATTTAGGCACAATTTTACTTATTAAGAATATAAGACTTGTCTTTGTGATGCCACTGAACTGCCTTCCTTACCATATTATTATTAGAAAATAAGTATCTTTATTTCTGCATATAAATACTTATATTATTATTATTATTATTATTATTATTATTATTATTATTATTATTATTATTATTATTATTATTATTATTATTATTATTTTATTATTATTATTATCAAAAAGAAGCGCTAAGCACTTATTACATAAAGCGCAAACCTGCAAGGGTCATATATATTTATTTTAGTATACCTGGAGAAGGTTTCGGGGGTCAACGGCCCCGTGACCCGGTCTGTGATCAGGCCTCGTGGTGGATCAAGGTCTAATAGGATAAGATTTCGTTCGGATTTTTAACCCCGGGGGGTTAGCCACCCAGGATAACCCAAAAAAGTCAGTGCGTCATCGAGGACTGTCTAACTTATTTCCATTGTGGTCCTCAATCTTGTCCCCCAGGATGCGACCCACACCAGTCGACTAACACCCAGGTACCTATTTGCTGCTAGGTGAACAGGACAACAGGTGTAAGGAAATGTGTCGAAATGTTTCCACCAGCCGGGAATCGAACCCGGGCCCTCCGTGTGTGGACCGAGAGCTTTAGCCACTAGGCCACGGGGCCACACCAGGCTATTACTGCTGGCCACACACAACCTGACGTACATACCACAGCCCGGTTGGTCAGGTACTGACTTTAGGTGCCTGTCCAGTGCCTTCTTGAAGACAGTCAGGGGTCCATTGGTAATCCCCTTTATGTATGCTGGAAGACAGTTGAACAGTCTTGGACCCCGGACACTTATTGTGTTGTCTCTCAGTGTACTCGTGGTGCCCCTGCTTTTCATCGGGGAAGTGTTGCATCTCCTGCCGAGGCTTTTGCTTTTGTATGGAGTGATCTTCGCGTGCAAATTTGGTACTGATCCCACTAGGATTTTCCAGATGTATATTATCATGTATCTTTCTCGCCTGTGTTCCAAGGAGTACAGGTCAAGGGACATCAACCGTTTCCAGTACTTTAGGTGCCTTATCATACTTATGTGTGCAGTGAAGGTTCTCTGTACATTCTCCAGCTCAGCAATTTCAGCTGCCTTGAAAGGGGCTGTTAGCGTACAGCAATATTCCAACATATACACAGTAAGAAAAATACAAGCAGTTTCTAAGGAGTAATCAAAGTTTATTAACAATAAAACTACTTCCTACAAAATGAATGAACTATATTTAACTGAAATACTTGCATATTTCTTAAAGCCTCTATCACTGCTACTAATCTACATATTAACCAGTTATATGAGAAATAAAGTGCTGTGTTAACTACATATTAACCAATTATATGAGAAGTAAATTTTCTTCTTCTTATACTTTTTATTAATTATTACAGGAAAAGGGGTTACTAGCCCATTGTTCCCGGCATTTTAGTTGACTTTCACAACACGCATGACTTACGGAGGAAAGACTCTTATTGCACTTCCCCATGGATATAAAAGGAAACATAATAAGAACAAGACCTATTAAGATAAAATCAAAGAAAACTCAGATGAGTGTGTATAAATAAACGTGTACATGTATGCTTAGTGTGACCTAAGTGTAAGTAGAAGTAACATGACGTACCTGAAATCTTGCATGTTTATGAGACAGACAAAAGACACCAGCAATCCTACCATCATGTAAAACAATTACAGGGTTTCGTTTTACACTCACTTGGCAGGACGGTAGTACCTCCCTGGGTGGTTGCCGTCTACCAACCTACTACTATTTTCTTTTTGGGGATTTTCTTTCTTTTTGGGTCACCCTACCTCGGTGGGAGACGGCAAACTTGTTAAAAAAAACATGAGGAGTAAAGTACTGTATTAAAAAAGTAAGTTTACTTAGGCATAGGTACACATAAGTACAATTATCCTACATAGTGTTAAAGTACCTATGATAACACAAAAAAAAGTCAAAATTACTTATTTCCTTTTAAGTCCTTGAAAGTGTTGATTCATCAGCAAGTTTTCACACCCAGTTTACTATCTTTTGGTAAACTAGGTGAGAAAACATGATACTGAGGGGATATTTAAACAGACACAACCACCCAAGCTTAATTTATTTACATCTCCAAAAATGTTTCTAATGATTTGGTAAAATAATAAAAGTGACCAGACAAAACAATGTGCATTGTTATAAATTGTGCTCATCTGAGCAATGAAAATTTTCCTACAGAACTGCACTTTTATATCTATTATAATAATATATTCACAAAATGTGTTAAAACCCGTATAGTCACATAATGCTACTATTTCTATAGTAGACTATCACATCAGAGAACATGTATAGTACAGCAGCTCCCACTACATTATTTAGTGGAAATTTCTTATACAGCATCTTATTACATTATGATGGAAAACAGCATCAATTATTATAAATATTTGAATGCCCTTCATTAAGAGGTACCATTATTTCTAGATAGCTGCCAGGGTACTTGATTAATAATGTATCACCTGACACTGCTGCTAGACAACTGTCAAACTTAGCAACCATTAGTCTTCATCAGGAACTGAGGTGGTGATGCGCAGTCCATGCATCTGTTTTATTTCACTTTTTAGAGCCTCGGTAATTAGTTTGTGCTGTTTGACCCTAGAGAGTCCTTTAAAATTTGGGGCCTCAACCCACACTTCATACATGGAGCCACAACCACCAGATATGTCCTGGACTTCCACAGTTGATGCCTGGGGGAAACGTCGACGAAGTAGGTCAGTCAATCTTATCTCCGACACACTGGATGCAGCATCACTCAACCCCCGGACACTTATCTGTAAAGAACCCCAAAGGAAATAAGTCAATGACCCCAACAGAAATAAGCCATGAACTCCAATGGAATAAGTCAATGACCCCAATGGAAATGAGTCAAGGACCTCAATGGAAATAAATAAGGACCCCAATGTAAATAAGTCAAGGACCCCAATGGAAATAAGTCAAAGACCCCAATGTAAATAAGTCAAGGATCCCATTGGAAATAAGGACCCCAATGGAAATAAGTAAAGACCCCAATGGAAATAAGGTCTCCCAATGGAAATAAGTAAGGACCCCAATAGAAATAAGTAAGGACCTCCAATGGAAATAAGTAAGGACCCCAGTGGAAAAAAGTAAGGACCCTAATGAAAATAAGCAAGGACCCCAATGGAAATAAGTCACTTCGTCTGATTTTTTTGGATTATCCTGGGTAATCTATACATATGTTGCCATGTGTGATAATTTATGTAGCTGTGTTTATGTGTACCTGTACCTGAATAAACTTATTTACTTACTTACTAGTGAAATGTTGAAAAATCTTCGTAAACCGATCATTGTTGTTGTTGTTGTAGGTTTATAGAGCCTCCCAGTCCTGCACCGTCTTGAGCCAGACTTTCTCTCTGGTAGAGAAATGTCGCTCAGAATCGGACCCGCCTACCACTTTTTCCACATTCCATCTTTACCTATCCTTCCTCTCCCAATTTACCAAACCTATGGTTAAAGAACCTTGAGCTTCGAACCTCGGGTAAGTAATAATAATAATATTTATTTCTACAAGTACTCATATGACTCAACTTATACAGACCACAGCTGACATCAGTGACATACTATATACAGAGAATTTCGGGCAAATTAAGTTAATTTTGTCCCAGGATGCCACCCACACCAGTCGACCAATACCCAGGTACCTACTTACTACTAGGTGAAGAGGGACAACAGGTGTCTTACCGGGGATCCAATCATGGACCTCAGTATATCAGCTGAGTGCGATACCACTCGAGCTACGTAACTTTAATAATAATAATAATAATAATAATAATAATAATAATAATAATAATAATAATAATAATAATAATATCTTTATTTACTACAAGTACATGTACAAGGTATACAGACCATAGTTGACATCAATGACATACTACTATATGAAGGAGGAGACCACACAGACTTGAATAACTATAGGCCAATATCCAACTTACACCCTCTCTCTAAAATCTTTGAAAAATTAATCCATAAGCGTATCTATTCCTACCTCATCTCCCACAACATACTCAACCCCTGTCAATTTAGGTTCAGGCTTAATAAAAATACTAATGATGCTATTATCCACATGCTAGAACATATTTATACAGCAATAGAAAAAAAAGAAGTCCCACTGGGGATCTTCATTGACTTACGTAAAGCTTTCGATACAGTTTACCACGACTTGCTCCACATAAAATTGTCGCACTATGGTATAAGAGGGCACTCCCTCAACTACCTAAAGTCATACCTCAGCAACAGAAGCCAATATGTTTACACAAACGGGGCAAACTCTTCCGCACAGCCAATTACAGTTGGTGTCCCACAGGGAAGTGTCCTAGGCCCTCTTCTCTTTCTCATATACATAAATGACCTACCAAATACATCGCAACCACTCAAACCCACACTATTTGCAGATGACACTACATACGTCTACTCTCACCCGAGCCCAGTCATGCTAGCCAATATTGTAAACACCGAATTACATAAAATATCAACCTGGATGAGGACCAATAAACTTACTCTAAACATTGACAAAACCTACTACATTCAGTTTGGTAACAGAGCTGTAGATGTGTCTCTTAACATAATGATAAATGGATCACCTATCACAAAACTCACAGAGGGAAAATTCCTAGG